TTCCCTTTCCCCCTGCACAATGTTGCAAACAAATCAGGTTGTTCTTCACAGACCTTGTCAAGAGAACTCTCCAGTAACTTAGTATCTGTTGGGTTTGAAACAGAATACTAGGTATAAACTTACTTTCTCTTCTTGCTTGTAAATTTTAATCTATACACACACATACCCACAAGATGGAAATACTGGAAAGGAAGACATTCACAGATGTTATCAGGATTTGCAGATTATCTGATTATTTATATAGATAATCCCTAAGAATTGATTGGATCCTAGACAATTGCTCCAGAATCAATAAACTCGCTCTGCACAGGTAGTTTTCAAACCTTAGTTTACATAAGGTTTTCTTTACTGTTGAAACAAATGGTGGATCTCCCCACTGGAGAATGGGGTTGAAGACTTGGTGCAGTCTTGTTAGAGTCTACAATTCTAACAAGATCTTGGGTAGTACTGGTGTCCTGGCTCAGGAGCTGTATTGTGAAGATCATTGCTCCATACCAACAATAGAACAGGCAATTTTAAATCCTTAAAATTAATGGGAAAACTAATGTTAAGTCCCAAAAAGCTTTACTTGTGACACTAAAGATCATATGAATGAATGAGATGATCGACTCTATAGTTTTCAGTTTCACTAGATATGAAGACTGATCATTTCAGTCTTAGACAACAAGTAACTCTGTTATAAAACAACCAAAAGACATGATGAGATTGTAACATGTCTCTTAAATAAAATGAAAGTCAAATTTGGAGTAGGGATGAGACAAATTTAAATTGTAGGTCCTCGTGTGGCTGGCCTGATAGCTCAGCAGACTAAAGCTTCTGATTAAGCAGAGTGCAGTGGCTGGGTTTCAATCCCTGGTGTGCCATGCTGGCCCTGCATACGGGGTATGCTGAGACATCAATTGAGACTAGGCATGGTGGCACACACTTGTAATCCCAGCACTTGGGAGGCTGAAAACAGGAGGATCACTATGAGTACAATCTATGTAGTAAGACCCTGTAGACCCTGTACTAAATACAGAAAAAAATAAATAAATTGTAGGCCCTCAAGGAAAATAAGGAAAACAATTTAGTAAGTATATACCTACATGTTCTAATTATAGTCATGTAGATACCCTATGTATTATAACCCCTATTTATCTGGTGAAGAAACTGAAAATCAAAAACTAAATTACTCTAAAGGAGACAGTAACAGAGCAGGACTAGACATGGATGGCTCCTGAGCTCTGTTCTCTCCTCACTGTGAAGTAGGCAAGTACACATTCAGGGCCTGAGGGTAACTCAGAAAGGCCTGCTATTGCTACAGTGATGTCAACCACAGAATAATGTGTACTGCTTGTTGCCACCCCCTTCATACAGGGAGTAGGAGATCTTGGCCATGTCCCTGATACTTGGCACCTGAACAGGGACATTCTAATTAGGCGTGAGAGAGAAGATCTTCCCAAGTGGAAAGAAGAAGACCAAAGAAGGTGAGAAGGACTCTGTAGGATGAATGTGGGGATGTCCACATAGAAAGTGGAAGGCAAATATCCATTGAGCACCAAGATGTCAGAGTGCCAAGCAACAGAGAAAGAGCTTCTCTGAGAGTGGCCATCCAGATGCTGGAATACAGCAATGTGAGATGACAAGGAGGAAAGTGAGGCCCCTGGACCCAAGAAGGAAATGCAAAATTGCAGCCCACTGAAAGAATAAAGAAACTTCAGCGAAGAAGTTGGTAACTGGCAATGTCTGGATTTCTAACCTGCAGATACATGGTAACTGCTGGCAACTCCAGAAGCCTCCACAGAGAGATGAGGCAGTGGAAGTAACAGTAGACACGAAGGACTGCACTAGCTGGTGGTGAGTGCTGCTGGCTCAGTTGTCCCATGTTAGATGGTGATTGGCTATGAGCCATCTTGCTGAGGGGCCATCTGACCTCACAACTCAGAGCAGCTGTTGGCTCCATCTAGTGGCCTCCCCATTGGGTTCAGACATGTGGAAAGTGTGCTGATGACTGCAGGCAAACAAATCCGTTTTCAGCCAGAAGGTGCAGGATTGCTCAGGTTATCCACTACCCTGTCAAAAAGCTACACTGACTTGGAGGGATAAATCAATGCAGATTATGATTCTGTCTCCATACACTGACAGCAAAGAAAAACCTGGAAGTGAACTTTTTTCTTCTCTCCCCCCCCCCCGCTTCCATCTCATTTTTGTTTGTTTTTGTTTCTTCCCTTTCATTGTTTGATCTTATTTTTATATGAGTGTGAATGTGGTTTATAGCCTCTTTGTGGTTGTGGTTCTGTTCTGTTCTGTTCTTTTTTTGCTCCTCCTTCTCTCTTTCCCTCTAGTCTCCTGCACCAGTTTCCCAACGTTAGTATGAACCCTCTTTGTCCACCATGATTACTTCTAATTTCTTTTTCTTCGTACAATTCTCTATTTTCTCCCTAACCATTTTAAATTTTAACCCCTGAGGGAAAATTGACATATTAAGGACTTGTGTACTGCATAAAATTTTGTTGGCTTATTTTATTTAATTTTATTTTATATTTAGTACACGATCTACAGGGTCTCACTACACAGATTGGACTTGTAGTGATCCTCTTGTTTTCAGCCTCCCAAGCACTGGGATTACAGACTCACACCGCTACACCAAGTCTCAGTCATATCTCAGTGCACCCCAGGGGCAGGACTGGCACAGCACACTGGGGATTGAACCCTAGTCCCTGTGTCTGCCTAAGCAGGCACTTTAGTCTACTGAGCTATCTGGCCAGCCTGTGGCTTATTTTAGATTTTGTTATATAACAGCAAATCTAGTTCATATAGTTAAAGTTACCAAATTAATGGTTATCTAAGTTTGTCATTTTTTAAGCTGTTTTGTTTCCATTGTTGTTGACCATGGTACCACTATAGCTAAAATGACATAGTTGCTCTAAACGTCTGTTCTTTCTGGTATTCCAAGACTGAGATTGACTAGGGGTCACAGAAAATACTGTGGCACAACGCCAAAGAATCAGGGGCTGAGCCAAGCAGGCTGCAACTTCTCATCCCCAACAAATTGAAAAGATACAATTTTTTTTTTTTTTTTTTTTTTTTGTGGAACCAGGGATTGAACTCAGGCTCTTGTGCTTGCCAGGAAGCACTTATTCCATGAGCTGTCTCCCCAGCCCAAGAGATACAATCTTGCAACAGACTCAAAACCTAAAAATCAGCTACACCTGCAAGATACCTCAGAGAAATAGCATTTCCTAAGTGTTCTAAATACTAGTAATAAAGCAATATGACAATCTACAAGCATCACCCCAGGAATTAAACTAAAAGGAGAAAAGAAAATGAGAAGACACTTAGGAAGATGTAGCCTCAAACATCCAGCTCAACAAAGGCAAGTCCAGGGGTAATAAGGTGGGCCAATCTGAAAGCTACCTACCCACCAGGCCTCCCTGGAGTGGTAGCAACAAAGCAATTGAATGAGGTTCTAAAGAATCAGAAATAATTTCTTAAATAACCATGGGGATGCTGTCCACAATGAAAACCATGCTTACGGACTCTAGAGCAGATACAGAGAAAAATATAAAGGAGCTTAAGAAAATTATGGAAACCATGAGTGCTCAGCCTAGGAAAGAAATGGAATGCACATAAAGCAGATACAGTCAGATATCCAAAAGAATAAAACTTGCATTGAAGGTACCTGCAGCAGATGTGAGGACAAGATCTCACATATAAAGACAGGCTTGCAGCTAGTAATCGTGAAAATAAAGATTTCTTAAAGATAGCAAAGGACCATGAGAAATAAATCCAGCAGCTGCTAGATGATGCACAGGAGAACAACTTATGGTGGACTGGAGCCAATGAAAAAGCAGGAGATAATAAATAAATAAATAAATATTCACAATGTCATGGCAGAAAAATTTCCTGATAAGGAAAATCAATTTGACATACATTAAGTGAAGCATATAGAATTCTAATTAGCCATGATTTAAAAAAATGAATCTACAGCCAGGTATATTATACTCAAGATTCCAGAAATTCAACCTAAGAATAGAATCTTAAAAGCTGTTAGGGAAAAGAAACAAATCACCTATAAAGGAAAGCCCATCAGAATCACAGCTGACTTCTCAGAATAAACTCTCAAGTCAAGGAGAGTTTGAAATGAAGTATTTCAAGCTCTAAAGGAAAATAACCTTCAAGCCACACTGATGTACTCTGCAAAACTATCTTTCAAAACTGCTGGAGAAATAAGACACTTCCATGACAAAGGATATCTGAGGAAATTTTGAAGGATTTCAACTCCATGAAACCTAACAAAAGGCACCAGGCAAGGCAAACAATTAAACAGAGGGAAAGGAAAAAGAGGGACTCAACAACAGGAAAATTCATTCCTGCAAGCACACATTACCCTGATAGCAAAACCAAAGAAGGACCCTACCAAGAAAGAGAATTATGGGACAATTTCCCAAATGAATATAGATCCAAAAACTTCTCAATAAGACACTAGCAAACAGAATGCAGCAAATCATCAAGATGATTATACACCACAATTAAGTAGAATTCATCCCAGAGATGCAGGAATAGTTCAACATATGTAAATCAATAAATGTAGTACATCATATTAGCAGAGCCAAGGACAAAATTCATATGATCATCTCAATAGATGTAGAAAAAGCTTTTGACAAAGTCCAGCACCTATTCATGACAAAGACCTTACAGAAAATTGGAATAGATGGTCCTTATCTCAATCTGATAAATGCCATCTATGAAAAACCAACAGCCAATATCATACTAAATGGGGAAAAACAAAAGCTTTCATTCTAAAAGCAGGAACAAGACAAAGATCTCCACTCTTTCCGTGCTTATTCAACATAATCCTGGAAGCTTTAGCCAGTACTTTATTATATTATATTTGTGTGGATAGAAAAGAGCACTGTATCTTAATGGAGGCTAGATGATCTCTAAGATTTCCTTCTAGGGTGTGGGACTTATATAATAAGACAGCCCTTTACCCATGTAATTTCATGTTTTCTTTACAGATTCTCCTCACAGTAGTGAGGTTTGCATTTATAGAACAGCCTTCAAATTACGATCAGCACAAACTCTATGCCAGTGTAAGTACAAGTGCTGTTGAAACAGTTGAAGTACCTTACCTTGATGATGTGTGATATAAGACTCATACAGGAAACAGAACTTCTCTCCCCGCATGCGGCTAACTGCTGGGTTCTGAAAGGCTGGGTCTCTGCATGAGCTCATTCTTAACACAGGATGAGATGTGTGTTTGGAGGGTGGGAAGAGGGTACCATCGTGTGGCTTTATAACTGACAATAGGAAACAATTGTGGATGAGATTTTTTTTTTTAATTTTTCCTATTTGGCTTCTGGAAAAAACCTATCTTTTGCTTTTCCTCTCAGGATACCAATATCAACACTAAGTAAAACTATCAAAAACTTTAGTTAAGACTCTGTACTCATTGATTTACGTTAAAAATTAAAAATAAAAATTTCAAATTGAACGTTCAACTTGTATTTCCTATCTATGACTGACCAAGCAAATGTAAGTTCAAATAAAAAATATTTAGGCCATAAGTTTTAAAATTATCTTATAAACTCCCTAAGAATTATCCTTTTGAGTTAAATTTATATGTGATTAAATATGATGGCTTTCTTTTCTTATACTATTTTCTAGGTAGAATATGGCACCTAGAAAATTCCCCATAAAAGTTCTCCAAAATGGAATAAATTCAGGCTCTCAACTTATCTAAAGTTATTAATCCTTCACATTCTTTACTGCATTAAAAATCACTTCCTGGAGCCGAGGAGATGGCTCAGTAGAATAAGCGCTTTCCTGGCAAGAGCAAAGACCTGAGTTCAATCCCTGGTTCCGGAACAAAAAAAAAAAAATCAATTCATGTGAAATAATTTCTAACATATTGAACTTTAAAGAAGTTAATATGTATATATGTGTAATTTCTGGGTTTTGTAATGTTTACATTTTTCCTTTATAATAAGTTATAAAGACAAGTGGTTTTAAAACTGTACTGCAAAAAACATACATGCTGGGAGGTAGGGAACATTGGGTCAGCAAGGTGGAGGACAGAAGGAGGCAGGGGCAGCCCCAGATACCCTGCCCCCCACAAGAGCAACTTTGTGTTTCCTCTATTTTCCATACTGTGCTTCTTTACCAGGTTCTGCTGAAGAAGGAATTTAGGACTTTACAAAAATTTTTAAATCACTACTTTAGACAAACAGACTCAACTATAACTAATTCTTTTCTATTCTAGGGATAAATAAAACACAGAAAATGCTCATTAGAAATCACTTCCCAAGAAAGGCAGGAGGATTACAAGTTTGAGCCCAGCCTGGTCACCTTAACAACTTAGCCAGACTCTATCTCAAAACAAAAAACAACAACATCTTGGGATAGAGCTCAGTGCAAAGACCCTGGGTTCAATTCCTAGACACACACACACACACACACACACACACACACACACACACACACAATTACCCCCAATCATGCTATTTTGAAGATTTTCTCCCATTAAAGTAAATTAAGAGCAAAAATTCACCAAAGTCTCCATCATTAATGCTCAGAAATACAGATTGACATAATTGGAGAATGTAAAGCTTTAAATCTTTATATTTTTTGTTATTCAGGCATCAGAAACAGTATGTAAAAATAATAATCATGAGAAATATTAAAAACAGTGGTGGAAAGTCACTGGTTGAAAATTCTGCCTAGAAAAAAATAGCCACACATTTTAAAACAAAAGAGAAAGTCCCAAACTCAATGTCACATAAGCGCCAAGAAGCCCCAGCTGGAGAATACCACTGAGGAAATCTGCTGGTGAGATTAATGGGCAGCACCATTATCTGGCTTCCTATATTGGAGAATCTCAGCAGAAGACAAAAACACCAGCAAGCCAAATTCCAAGCCCAGCTGATAAGGTTTGAGATCAAATAATGATAAAAGCTTACAGCTTCAGCCACCTGCGGCCAGGTTTTATTTAAGCCCCATTTCTAAAACCTCCCCCTCTGTTCCTTAGGCTCTCCCCTTAAAAGCAATATCAGAGAACAAATAAAAATTTTATTATACTTGCTAGCTCCCTTATCTGCGAGGGTGATTTATGAAGTAGAGGGAAGCACTGAGTTTTGTCATTTCACAGGCTGAAGCATTTTAAATGCCAGCCGCTTTGGTTTCTTGACATCCCCACCTCTCAGCTGCTTTGGGTGTTTATTAATTTTATCTGTCATCCTCTGCCCATGAGAACTGTACAGTAGGCTCCATTTCATTCTTCTTTCTATTCATTGCCTTGTACAATATTTTATACGATGTGGTATTACATATTATACATATGAAATAAACTGTCATTTTTGTAAACAGCTCTAGTTGTTATTAACTGCCTTCTCTAGATCACAGTATTGATAGAACCAAGATTTTTCAAAATGGTATTTCTAAGGCAAGAGTCGTACCTAAACAGTCTGGTAATTGAGCAGCTACTATTTACAAAGATCACTGGGGATTTTTACTAAAGAGATTAACATCTGAATATGCTATCCTGAAGCTAGGCTGGTAGGAAGAGATGATCTGAACGTGAAAGATTAATTTATTCAGTCCACTTAACACAGAAGGGGAAAGACCTTTCCCCAACTTATGACCACAGTGTCTTAAGTTGGTTAGATGGGTTTTTCTTTCAAGTTTCTCATGTCTCTTCCTTTTTATCTTCATTCTACAAAATGGCATCCTAGGGACTATGCTTTATTAGCTCAAAGAATACTTTTCCAAAATAAAATTGACCATCAGAATAGTATCACCTGCATTACACAGAACAATTATGTGTCCATACTGAGGTCATATTTAATTCCCTTTAAGGAACACATCATGCATCAGGTCTTTTTTTTTTTCTTTTCTTTTTATTTTTTTTTGATAACAATAAAATTCTTCATAGGAAAATTTGCCTGGGTTTAGGTACACAATTTCTGTACAAGTATAGGCAGACATCATCAGATTTGTACTATCACACACATATGTTATCTTTATGTAGTATTTCAAAGCTTGTAGACCAAAAATGTT